GACTCTTTGCTTTTGCTTTGGGAACTGCCTTTGCAATGGCAAGCGCAGAAGATTGACCTTTGTCCTCTTCCGTGGAGCTATCAACGGATTGCACCACTGTGTCATCAGCTGTTGACTCACCAACGGCTGGCGCTGCCACGTCGGCACCGAAAGTCATTGTCGTATCCTGACTTGATCCCGAGTTCATTGTGGTCGTAGTTTTTTGTCACCCACTTGGCACGCCAATGACAGCTCTGCGGGGACTTAAAGGTTCACAAGTCACAAGAGCATCCCAGCCTGCAGGAAAACAACCACAACAGAAGTTAAAGCCACGAAGTACGCCGGGATGCTACTTGATCTGGGAAATGGTAGGAGACTCACATCGGGATGTGTCGAAGAGAGATCCACACCACCCCAAAATTAAAACAAATAACCCCGACAACGCTTCAACGTCCCCGACATGAGCACGAGTTTCGACAACTAGGCTTTGTACACGCGTTGTTTGAAAAGGTATGAGTCAGACTGAGCACAAGTTCCATGCCGGCAAGTGTAGTTTTGCGGACCTGATACAACAACCGCAGTAAAGACCAACCCTTTTAGAAGGCTCACCACACGCATGACCGAAGAACCCAAAGACCAGTCCGCAGGTGTGACTATACAGGCAGGTCGGCATGGCACAAGGATGCAATATGAGGTATCAGCACCTAATTATTTAATTAAATCGCTGTCACGTTTTTACATCCATGCACCCAATTCAAGGGGCAAGTGGGGTAATTGGGTAGTCAGTGCAGAAACCGAGGTAAAGACAACCAGACCAAACCAAAACATAAACAGAATAAGGGAAAAACAAAAAGTGGAGTAGTTACGGGTTGCAGCACTGACTATCTACCTGTTTGTAATTACCCACTGTCAGCTACAGTACATCCCACGGTTCACTTGGCCAGCTCAGATGGCAGGAGTGTCTGCTTTGTCGGAGCAGTCGGGTCATGACTGGTATGCCCATCTCATTGTGTACCCGGGGTCAGCTGTGGTGGCCCCATCGACCCAGAGGGATTCGTGGGAAGTGCAGCCGTCCAGCCTTTTCCAGCGCAGCAACAAGTTTGTAGCAGCGGTCAAGCAGCAGTCGATGCAGGCTCAGCTTTGCATGGCGCGGCGTTGTGATGATATCATAACGGGATACCGTCACATGCCAACTGTAACTTCAGACCAGGGCCGTCTCCACATGCTGCGGGGCAATTGTTGCCCCGGTGGTCCCCTCGTTTTGCATGTCAAAGTACGTTTGCTGAAGGATTAGAGCGCAAGCCAGAATGTCTTCGTCACCGACGGCATCTTCAGACCAGGGCCGTCTCCGTCCAGCATGTGGTGTTTGGGTCAGCATCTGTAGAGCCGTTGCCCCGGTGGTCCCCTTCGTTACATGTCAAAATACGTTGCTGAAGGATGAGCGCGTAAGCCAGAATGTCATCGTCGCCGACGGCATCTTCAGACCAGGGCCGTCTCCGTCCAGCATGGGGTATTTGGGACAGCATCTGTAGAGCAGTCACCGGGCGTTGGTCAAGGGGGATATGCCTGTGGAGTAATGTTGCTCCGGCGGTCCCCTCTTTTACATGTCGAAATACTTTGCTGAAGGATCCAAGCCAAAATGTCATCGTCGCAGACGGCATCTTCAGACCAGGGCCGTTTCTGTCCAGCACGGTGTATTCGGGTCGGCATCTGCAGAGCAGTCGCTTCAACGGCAGCTGTAGGCCCAGGGGTCATCCCCGGTACCTGTGTTCTTTCCCATGTCCTCAACATCGAGAGGGGCAGTACTGTCATCGGCAGCCCCCGATAGCTTCTGGGAAGCCAGTTTCACTCCATGGGTCGGCGGCACCGGGGTAGTGAAACTTCGAGTGGGAGAACGTAGCCAGCATTCAGTGCAAGAGGAGGAGGGAAAGGGGAGAGAAGAGGAGTCAGCAAGGGAGCGAAGGCAGAGTCAGTGCAGAAAGGGGGCAAGGAGAGGAAAGAAGCAAAAAAAAGCAAGGAGGCACGGTGCAGTGAAAAAGTTGAAAGCGACAGTGACAGCGACGAAGATGACGACGCTAAGTATTTAATTACTGGGGCGATCAGAGGCGTGTTGCACACCCGTATGCCCTTTCTGTCCTTGGCCGGCAATGTTGTTAATTACGGTTCATCGTTCGTCATCGGACGACGCGTCGATACGATAACAGACGATAACATCATCATCCTCTTCAACCCCTTCCATCATACTTGGTTCCGGTTCATCGAGGTTTGGGGGTGGGCGTTCAGGGCGAGGTCGAAGGCTGAAGTAACGGTGTAGGCAGGTTTGGCCACAGTCAGGCGGTCGGAAACCAAGATTTCGTAGGGAGGTTCTGCAGTCGGGGTCAGCGGCCTGGATATTCCTAAGGGAAAACACTGCAATGCTCACGCGGGGCGGGTTATCAGGCTTCGTGGAGTTAGGGATGCCACAGTGGGGATCCCTTGCCCAGAAGGTGATTGGTTGTGTAGAAAGGTTGAAGGTGACCCCAGGAAGCAATCCAAAGGCAGAATCCTGAAAGCAATCCCCTCCTACACGAGATAACCAGAACTGACAAGGTGTGGGCCCACATCCCGAAAGCACAGCACTGAGCCCAAGAGTGTTGATGTCCTTATGCACCTGGAACTTTCCTCCAACTCGAATGCCAATGGTCGTAAAAGCGAACCCCGGGAAGTTCATGTCAACAAAAGTAGCAATGAGATGGATTAGTTCTTGGCAGGTATGTGAGGCATTGGTACATCTACGGGTAGAGCGGGGCGAAAGGCCTAGTACCAAGTACTTGTTGGGGCGAAGGGTGTTGGACCAGAGCGATTTCGGGATACGGGAGAGGATCGGGTTGAGGTTGAGGGCATTCGAGGGTATGATCCCTTCCCTAAGTTCCTCATGTACCTGAGCAGCCAGGGTCTCCCACTGGGAGCGAGGTTTGGGCGCATTTAGTGCCTGCATGAGTTTTCTGTGTCTATGTGTGTGTGTGTATGCGCACCTGTCTCCCAAAGGTCCTGAGCCAGAGGTGAGCAGGGACGTTGGGTGGAGGGGCTTATGCTCAAGGCTTTGCAGGGGCATACATGCAGGGCGAGGTGGCCAGCGGACAGTTTGTTTCAGCAATGCAGCAAAGCTCACAAGGTGCATGCAGCAGCTCCAAATTACAGTACAGTACAAAGCAAGGATCAAGGCAGTCCCTAATTACGTTAAGGTGAGGTTTCGGGCAAAAAGGCCAGTATATACAGGCTCGGCTCATATCCGTGCGTAGGCTACAACATGTAGTGATGCTCGTCCACTCCACTCTGCAGCTTACCTGAATTGACGTCGGGTCGAGGATGGCGGTTCCTGTCGTGGGTTCTGCTCTGCCTCAGTGGTAGTGTGGTCCGCTGTATTGGACCCCTGGATCTCCTCATCTGCAGAGCGACCCTCGGTCTCGGTCCCTTGCGTGGCACTTCCCTGCGAGATTTTCGCATCAAGTGCCTGCAGCATATCCCTAAGGCTTTCGAGGCGAGCATTAGTCCTATCCGTAGTCCTCGCAAGAAACAACATAGCATCTGATATATCAGTGAGCTTGTTATCCACGGCATGGACCGTCCCACAAAGGTAGTCAGCAGCTTCCCTGGAAAGGGTCGGTTCAGCTGATTGCGCCTCCTCCAGCTGTCCTTGGAGGTCCTTGAGGGACATGCTGACTGTCAAACAGGCTTGTTCCACAGCCCGATGTTGCCTGAGCATGCTCTCGGGGATTTTATCTCTCTGGCCCTGGAATTCCTGTTCAAAGGACAGAAGCTTGGCATCAAGATTATCCAAGTGCTGTTTCATGGTGGTATCAACAGCTTCTGAGATGAACTCCAGGTGTCCTTGTATGCCACTGAGCGCCTCAGGGATGGAACTGAGAAGTGGCGCTGTGTGATCTTTAAGAATCACCAGGAGGCCTTGGGTAGCCAAGAAACGCTCCTTGTACTCTTCAAGCTCCTTGCCAAGGAGCCTTATATAACCTTTGAGGTCCTTGTGGCGGCGGAGACCTTCTTCCTTCATGATCGTAGCACAAATGCGGGGGGCATCTGAAGTGATGACCCCTGTTGTCAGGAAGCTATGTCTCTCCGCACTCATGGCTGCATGCATCATCCGGAACTCCTGTTTCGTCCTGAGCAGTATGCAGAAAAGCGCCAGTATTAGGAGCCCCTGCAAGCTCAGGGCTCCCACTATGCACATTTGGAGGGCCCAAACATCCCAAATGTCCAGTCTGCTGCCCAGAAAGGGCTCCCAGAACATATACAAGGGAGTGGGGAGATCCATGTACACAGAGGCGGGAGCACTGGAACTAGGTCTCGGTAGTTTGTTCGAGCCCACTGGGGAGATATATTTCGTCTCCTAGCATGATGTGCATGTGCGCTGTTAAAACTCAAACTGATGCACCAGCGCACTGATTCAGCCATGTTTGTGGGGTCAGCAAGCTGAGGTCCTCGCCGCTTCATCCATAAAGACAACATGTGGTGTGTCTGCAAAACACTACAGGATTGTAAAGAAAGAAAAGAAAGATGGGTTGGGTCAGCCAAGATTACCCTGGGGGCATGAAGGGACGTGAAAAAGCCTCAGGGTTGACTTATACAAGCTGTCTAGAGCCAAGTCTACATGTTGTTCTGCTTTCAAGCGGGTGTGCAGAGGGCTGTGCATCACTCACAGAGGACCTGCAGGACATGTGTGAAGAACCGGGCATGAGAACCGTTGCTGAAGGACTTTTTGCGCGGCAGTATCGCAAGTAAAGGCAGTGCCAAGGGCAGTACAGGAAGCAAGGAAAGTACAAAAGCAGGGCAGTCCGGGGCGCAGCGATACATGCAGATTGCAACATAATTAAAAGTTCATTCGTGGTTCAGCGTGCGTTGCACTTGAACAGGATTTGGACAAGCTTCATTGAAAAAGGGGTAAAGAAGAAGCTACCACATAGAAGAATCAAAACATGAGAAACCCCAGCTTGTCACGGCTGCGCCTGAGGATCAGGTCTAGCTGATCACTGTCTGATCGCCAGAGCTTGGCTCTGCTGCAATACCAGAAGCAGACGGGCTAGGTCATCCGGCGTCAGGGTCAACGTGTGCCTGTCCAAGGTCTGCGGAGCTGGAGACGTCGGCGGAGCCGACGGTGGCGGCGCCTTGTACTGCAGGGCACTGGTGAGGTCCAAAGGGCATGGCTGATTGCCCCCAGTGGGACCACAGGGCCTCGCCGTAACATTTGCCGTGTGGAGCGGTGGCGGCATGTGCGCCTGACTCGGAGGTGGTTGTTGAGCTCGTGGCGCTGGGGTAGTACTCGCTGGGAGCAGCCTGCTCAGCAACTCCTCAATCATTTCCTTGATCTTGGCCAGCGCTGTGTCCTGCTCTTCGGTCGCCTCCCCCAAAAGTCTGGTGTTCTCGAGGATGTTGTTCTGCATATAGGTTTTGTTGTAGACCTCACGGATGTGCCATTGAGCGTCATCAATTGCCACCTGTGCATTCTGGATGTAGGGGATGACCATGTGGATGTTCCGGACATCAGTCCCGATCTGGTCCATCTTCGTGGCGGCGGCATCCAGCTTGGAGTTCAGGAAGGTGACCTCAGAGTCAAACTTGTGGTCAATGGCTGCAAGCGAGTCCTCATGGCGGTCCGCTTCAGTTTTGAGCTCGACTCGCGCATCGAGGGTGGACTGGTGTGTGTCCACTACCAGCTTGTGGATCTCCTTGACTTCATCTTGGAGCGTCTTGATCTCAGATCTGGCATTCTGGATTTCCAGCCCCAGTGCTTTCATGTCACTGATCGTAGCAGGTGGGCGTTGGTTGAGGATCGAGGCCAATTCCTTCCTGACCCCACTCAAGATCGCACTCTGATGCTTGACATGATGGTCTTGGAGGGCCCCATCCAGGTTCTCCAACACCACTATTGTAGCCATCGTCATCGAGGTCATAACACTCATGTCTGTAGACTCCGGTGAGGCAGGCGTCGAGGTAGTGGGAGTGCCATCTGCAGCTGGAGAGGTTTGCGACGGGCCCGGGGCCTGTGCCTGTACTCCTCCCCCTGCCGTGGTTGTGTCAGTGAGCTTGGCATCTCCGGTACTATCGACCTCAGCTGGGGTCGTGTGGCCATCATTGTCAGGCCTCGCAGCATCCGGGGCAGGTGGAAGCGACCTGCTCATCTTGCTGCTTCGAATCGCAAGCCACCCAAGAGCTAGGCATGCCAGGGTGAGCGCAGCGACCAAAGGGAGTGAAGCCTCAAGGGAGTCACTCATGGAGGACTGCATGCTGCGTCCGGCGGTCACAGCGTCCATGACTCGGCAAAAGGGCCAGTGCGTGTAGGCTAGGCTCGAGAGGACAGCAGGCTATAGTTCGGGGTATGCGGCTCCACAGATGGCACAGCTTAACGGGGGCAATTACCTGCCCGTCCTGCCCCCCCCCCCCCCCGAAATGCAGACGAAATACGACATGTCATGACAAAAAGTTGATTGTATGAACAAGGTGTGTATTGAGGGAGCAGAGGGAGCCTAAGGGCATGAAAAGCGAGTTTTGTCTGTATCCCTCAAGGTAAACAGTACACATTTACGCGTCCATGTTATCATGTCACAAAGGAGTGCACCCGGTCGAACTTGTGCTACCCTCATGCATGTATGGATGACGGATCTAATTCACTCTCTAAAATGTTTAGGCAAGGTGAGGCAGTCCTGCAGTGCAGTCACAAGATGACAACTTCAGAAAAAGTGCAATGAATTGCAATGAATTAGTGTACATGCCGTAGCAAGGGCCCCCACGTCGTGAGCATTGGAGCAGTCATGGTCTACCAGAAGCAGCTGGGCGGAGGTCCTGGCGCCCCCTGTTGAAGCACGTAGGCCCGAGAATAATCCAACATCCTTACGAAGTAGTGACTCGGGGGGTGGTCCAGTGCTTCTTTAGCGGCCCTGTCAGCAATTTCGTTCAAGGCGTGCCCCTTATGCGAATGAACGTGTTTTGCACAAACTCGGTCATGGCACTTATGCCACAGCATGCACAAGCCTGCCTGAAGCGACACATGTGCGAACCCTACTGTGCCGCCCTCCAGAACCTGGAGGACATACGTGGAGTCCGTGATCAGCAGCACCGGAATTCCGGGGAAAGCGTCCAAGATCTGTAGACACTTTTCGACCGCTTTGATGGCGGCCATGAGTTCCGCTCTAATGTTAGTAACCGGTGAACCCTGAAAAGGAAAACCGCATACTAGCACATCACGGGGCACTTCCCCATACGGTGGGAGGATGGCCAGTCCTCCTCCTAGTTTCCCGCCTCGTTTACTGCCGTCGCAGGCCACACAAAAGCAGGAGATTTCATCATGGCTCTCCACACTCTCCGTGACCTGATACGACGACTGGTATGGGGGGTCAATGGGGGGGTGTGTCTGAGGGAGAAGCCAGAATCGGTCACCAGTCCTTAGTAGGCATCTGTGGCAGAGATCAACCTGATGTAGGTTGGGGTAGAACGCGTCGGGTAAAATGTTCTTGATCTGAAAGACCTGAGCTGTGAAATCTCGCCATCGTGTTCTATTGTTCGCAATCAATTCCCAAGTTGGGGGATCATGGGAGAAGCGACACCTACGCCACAGGAGGGTCAAGCTGTAAGCGGCATTGGGCCAACGCCCGACCTTTCTGCGTTCAGTTGGAAAAGCTTGTCTCCAGGCCTCGTCACGGATTTGAATCGCGATCTGAATCGGGCGCCTAAGGCACGGCTCCAATCTGGCTGCGTGCCCCCAGTAATTGAGGAATGAGCTAAGATGGATGGCATCCCATGGTCTGTGGCCACAGGCTTGCGCCGCCATACGAGCACCTCGGCGCCGAGCGACCCAATTCTCGCTCGACGTTTGCAGAGGGTCGTGCGCAAGGCGTGTCATCATGACCAGCAAATGTGTCTGCAGAGTCCTTAGCTGGTTCGCCACTGCGAAGAGAGGGCGAACTGCGGCTGAGAGCCACCGCCATCTGCTGGTGACAAAGGAGTCAAGCAGGTGCAAGCGCTTGGTAAGCGGACCCCTGCCCCTGGCTAAGAAGCCCATATAGCCAAAAAAGGAGTTGGTAGCCATTTTCAGCCTGGCAGCAAGAGTCATTTGACACGTAACTGCAAAACCCACTAGGATGCCAAGGAACACAAAGGAGTCCACTTCCTTAATGGGTTCAGGGAAGTCTCTAGGCTGGACAGGCTCCGACGGAAGATCTGGTGAGCGTATGAGCTGGCACTTAGATCGTGCAAGGTGGAGACCTATCGCTTGGAGACAATTCTGAAGCGAGTCCAACATGTGCAAAAGTTGTCCTGTGCTGGTGGCCAGCAATAAAATGTCGTCTGCGAATATAATCGCAAACAAAGGGGTCCCATCACGGGCCCGAACCCATGTAGTCTCAGTGCGCTGCCATTCCTCTAATAGGGGTGTCAGGAAATGATCCAACGTGCGTGCAAACAGCTCCGCGCTATAGGCAGACCCCTGTAGCACCCCTCGTTTGAGGCGCTGTCGCCAGCTGACGTTCGCGAAACTCAGAGACACTTCTGATTGTGTGATGAGCTGGAGGAGAAGCCTTGCTTCTTGTTGGGCTCCGAGGGAAGCCAAGAATCTGGCTACTGACTCATGACTCAGAGTGTCAAACGCCGCTTGAATATCTAATTTGCATGCCAACAGTGGTAGTCCCCATTGGCGTGACAAGTGGACGATATGTTTCAGGGCGACTGAGCCATCTAGAGCCTGGGCTCCGACCTGCGAAGAAAGCTGTCCAGTCCTCATACGAGGGAACACTGTGCGCAATCGTAGCAAGAGTGCTTTGGTGAAAAGTTTGCTAAGTGTAGCTGAAAGCACGATTGGTCGATACTCTTTAGGCTCACGGGGTTCGCGAGTCTTAGGAAGCAGTACGATCTGCGAGAGGCTCCAATTTTCAGGCAGTTCTGCACTTCCGAGCAGGAGTTGATTCAAGAGATCCAACAGATGCTCACACGCATCAGATTGTAGCACTGCAGACCAAAACTCATACGGCACTGCATCATTGCCACAACTCTTCCCGCTCTTGGTGAGGGTGAGTACATACTCAATCTCTTCCCTGGTGATGAGGGCTGGTGCAGGAAGCTTCGGTCCTACAGCTGCATCGTACAGGTGCATTGGGGAGGTGAGTGAGGGAGGCCCATCCGGAGCATACTTCTGTCTATAAAAGGCCTGTAGCCCTCCCACTGCCGGTCCTGTCCCCCCAACCCTAAGGCAGTACTCAAGCTGTGACGCCGAGGCACTCTGTTTTCGTCGAAAGTAACTGATGACTTGGTAGTCCCCGGCTGCGGCGCGATCCAAAAGTTCGGTACGCCAAGCCTTTTTTGCCTGCCCCCTTTGCTGAACGATTTCCCGCCCTAATTCCCGTTTCTCAAGGGGGTTGGTGGAGCGCTTACGTAAAGCTATCAGGGCCTTCGTCTCACAAGTGTCGACGAAGCGGAAACGGCGGGGTCTGAAGCATGACTTATGTGCAACCTCCAGGAAATCACTCTCACCGAGGTCCTGAGAGCTGAGGTCCGCGCGTGCTGCCATTTCGTTGAGAGAGGGGACAGCTTTTGTGTAGTCAACCAACCACTTCCCGCACTGGCTACGGCGTTGACGGGACCTCTTCCCGCGATTCCTGCAGAGGCCAACGCAGAGAGTAGCCAGCCGGTGATCTGAATCCAGTAGTCGGTCGGACTCTTCAACAACCTGCATATCCCAGGTTTCCTGGTGAGGAATTCGGTATAAAATGTAGTCAATACTCGAGGTGGACCCTCTGGTATTACTCCACGTGTATGTTTGGGGCACTGTATGCGCCAGACCAAGGTCGCGCTCAAACAGATTTAGCAGAGCACTACGTTCATCCGACGACTCAGCTGTTACATGCAACAGTTCATAATTCAAGTCAGCCATCACAAAGATGTTATCGTGGTACCGTGAGCTCGCCAAGAGCCGGCGCATGCACTGAATTTGGTCCTGCCACACGTCCTGAGAGTCTTGCCTGTTCAGGTAGGGCAGGTGAACTGACAAAGCAAACGTAGAAATACCATTAATCCGAAAGTGAACGCACATGCCGCAAGGCTGGATTGAAATGTGTGCGACATGTGGGATCAGGTGTGTGGGGAAGCCGATACCTTGGCAATGGTGACTACCTGCAGGGTTGCCTACAACAAAGGTAAACGACTGATTCTCAAGCCAGACAGTGCGTTTGTCCCACTTGCCCGACTCAATATCCCCACAGCCTCCCAGTTCTTGCAAGCTAATTAAGTCGAACCCGCTCAAATGAAGTAGGTCCGCGGCATTACTAAAATGATCGAGGCCTTTGCCCCGAATGTTCCACGTAGCAACGTGAAACGGTGTTCTGTGCTGCTGTGGAGGGGAGGGTAGTCACCGGCCCGGCCGCATATCAAGATGCGGTCCACTTTCCCAGAGTTTCGCGAGTTCGGTTTTCGGAAGTCCCGTGATCTGTTCAAAGCGGTTTGCCAACAATACCCATCCTGTGTGGTCACCTTTGTTATCACTAAGGTAAATGTCAGCGGGATCAGCATCATGGGGCATGTGGGAGGCTTCGGCAAGTGCCTGGACTCGGCCCACATATACCCGTCCTCGCCAGTCGATCTCAGGGTTCTCACGCTGCCTGTTATCTCCGTACTTAACGTGAATGTAGAACTCCTTGGTCTGGACGAGGCTTCTGATTTTGTTGCGATCTTCAGGGGTCCTGTTTTTTGTCATCCAAAGCACGTTACCCTTGCTCCCCGTGATGCCAGAGATGAACTTTGTTCCCTTCAGCTTATCCAGGGTGTGAGTCTGAAAGGCTCTCTGGGCACGAATGTTCTGGGCGGTGGGAGGGAACTTCAGGGACACTCTGCAGACGTTGACTCGGACATACGGGACAATGATTTCAAGGATGCGATCTTCGATGTGCAGTCGATGGAAGATTTGTCTAACTTCATGTTCGACATCCCCCCTCCTGGCCTCGTTCCAGCCACCAATCACAAGCTCAAGGTCCTCAAGAGGATCACGGTCTTCACGAGGGCTCCTGTTCATAGAGGGGGACCGGCCTCTTGAGTATTCGCGCCCCGCAGGGGTGGGCGAGCGAGATCGTTCCCGGTCCTGATGCTGTAGGTCCTGAACCTGACGTTCCAACGCAGCAACACGAAGGAGCGTGCCTTCATGCAGCTGTGTATGTTCCTTAGTAGTGGCTTCAAGTGCCTCGGTGCGAACTTCCTGTTGCTGCATATCTGCTCTCAGTCCCACCAGCTCAGCATGGGCCCGGTCCTGCGACGCCTTACTGGTATCTGCCTTAGTGTGTAGGTCCTGCAGACTTTGGTGAATCTGCTGCAGAGCATCCATCCATCCTGCATTAGAGGACGAGGCTTTCGGTCCTCGGCCTGTTCGGATGGGGGTGTAGGGATGAGGGGGCACATTGGGTGGGGGCAGCGGAGGTTCCTCCATGCTAGCATCCGTGAGCTCGTCGCCAAGGCTCACTTCCTGTGGTTTCTCAAGTCTCAGCTTCTTACTCTCCGGTCGGTCTGTCTCAGATGACGACAGGGTATGTTCCCTCTCAGTGCGGACGCCGGCTACTTGGCCGTCGTTAGGAACAAAGGCACTCATGCGTGGGCGTCCTGCCGCAATTGCAGCTCGGGAGGCCTGACTTTCAAGGGCCTGTGTATGCCTGGCAATTGCGAGGGGCTTGGGGGCCGGCGGGAGAGATTTAGGGTGACTCACGGGTGGAGGATGAGTAACACTGGCTTTGGGCGCTGGGGTTGGTGGGCTATCATGGGCCTCCTCGTCGCTGCGTGAGAGATCGAAGGTCGGTACCTGGCTCGGAATGGGTATCTCAGGCACCGGCAGTTCCAAGGATCCTCCAGCCGAACTGGCGTCTCCTAACTCAGGAGTTCCAGGTGCAGGAAGGGCAGGGACGTTCGGGTCGATGATATCACCTGGCCCCTCTTCCAAAGGATCCCCCAGTGCAACCGAGGGGAGCGGCGGCGCGACAGACTGAGGGTTCCTTAGTCTTCGAAAGCCTGGGTGCAGCGGGTCGTCTTCTGTGGCGGGCGGCGGTCCCCATACCCCTAGTCCAAAGGAAATGTTCCTAGTTTCAGGTTCGAATCTGCCAACCCCGGCTCCTGGCGGTGTGCCCGGCTGTGTCGAGCTGACATCATCGTCGCATCCAAGCTCCTCGCCTTCTTCCAGATCCATCAGTGTCCTGTTGGGAGACCTAGGGCGGTCCTCCGGGGTGCGGGGGCTGGGCGCCCGGTACCCAATTGCTCCGGGGAGCAAAAGAGTTTCAGCATCAGCATCAGCTGACATCTTTATTAGAGCAGGACGACGATAGTCACAGCAGGTCAGGTCAGGCAAGTGAGCAAGTAACAAGTAGCAGTAGCAAGAAAGGATGAAAGGAAGTGCAGTGCAAGGTGCAGCGCAGTACAGTGCAGTACGACAGTGGCAAGGGAAAGACAGTGCAAGAAACAGCAAGGGGACAGCAAGGACAGCAGTGCAAGGAGCCAGAGGAAGGGAAAGGAAGAAGAAGAAGAGAGAGAGAGGAGGAAGGGAATGAGTGAAAGTTTTCAAAGATCACTGTTCTCCCCCTCTCAGTCAAGGGCCACTCACGCTGTTACTTCTTCGAGCCGAGACTTGAGCCGTAGTAGTAGATCAAGTAGTCTTTGCTGCAGAAAGGCAGAGCCGCGTACGGCTGATAACCTGCGTGGGGATTTGATCTTGGTGATGTTCTCTGTCGCTCACCCCACAAAGAGCTATATTGACTGTTGGCGTGGTTGCCCTCTACAGACTGGATCACTGTTACTTCCACTTCCACACACGCGCTCCTATGCAGGCAGATCCAGCGTTCGCTCGTTTTGCACACTCACGGCCGGCGGTGGATCGTCTGTGCACGGGATAGCTCTGTCCACTCGGAGAATCACAGAAGATTATAGCACTTTAGCTATGGGCAATGCTTTCTAGAGCTTGTGCTCATTCTTGAGCCAAATGTTGCATGGGCGGTCATACTGAAAGGATGGATAGGCATTGCGGTGTGCGTAGCACTACCACAATCCTACTCCTAGAGACGAGGGACGCGTAGCGTGCCCTCTTCCCTTGCACTTTATACGGTCTTGCTCACAGCTCTTATAGTGACACCTTAGAACTTGACAAGGCATCGCAGTCCGTTCGCATAGTAGTAGTAGTAGTACTAGTACTAGTAGTAGTAGTAGTAGCAGTAGTAGTAGTAGTAGTAGTAGTAGTATTAGTAGTAGTAGTAGTAGTACTAGTAGTATGCTTGCTTCCTCGCTTCCTCGGTTCCTCGCTTCCTCGCTTCCTTGCCTGCTTGCTTGCTTGCTTGCTTGCTTGCTTGCCTTTGCTTCCTTCCTTACTTGCTTCCTTTCTTGCTTGCTTGCTTGCCTTTGCTTCTTTCCTTCCTTCCTTGCTTCCTTTCTTGCTTGCTTGCTTGCTTGGGTTTCCTTCCTTCCTTGCTTCCTTTCTTGCCGGCTTGCTTGCTTGCTCGCTTCCTTGCCTGCTTGCTTGCTTGCTTGCCTTTGCTTCCTTCCTTAATTGCTTCCTTTCTTGCTTGCTTGCTTGCCTTTGCTTCCTTCCTTCCTTGCTTCCTTTCTTGCTTGCTTGCTTGCTTGCCTGGGCTTAATTCCTTCCTTGCTTCCTTTCTTGCGTGCTTGCTTGCTTGCTTGCCTGGGCTTCCTTCCTTCCTTGCTTCCTTTCTTGCCGGCTTGCTTGCTTGCTTGCTCGCTTCCTGGCTTGCTGGCTTGCTTGCTTGCTTGCTTGGGCAGGAGACCGGAAAAAAAATACCAAAAGAAACTGAAAAAAATACGGAAAAAATACCGCCACCCATGCCAGCCATGCAGAAGGGCATCGTAGTCAAAGATGTCAGTGCATGTTGTGCAAAGTGTAAACCATCTTGTTCAACATGCAGAGTCGGTTATCGATTCACAGAGACGGCACAGAAGGATGCACACCCTCACGCCCGTGAGATGAAAGTAGCTGTGCCGAGTTCTGTACAGGATCTCGAAGCAGAGGCTGGTTCTGGATGCTAAGCACCCATCAGCCCTCGCTGTGGCAGTTTCTACGAATTCACGTTACCAAGAAAGGCAACGAAGGCTATAATCCACTTAAAAGAGTTTGGAAGAAGTGAGCTTGGTTGCACCAAGGGTCAGATTCGCCCACCTTGATTTGCCCAGCCCTTTGGGTAACGTTTTAGTCTAGCTCCGACGATATTGCATATCGTGATATCCAGGGAGCAGGCACACTTCTTGGCCGCCGGGAAGCAATGCATCCCACATCTTCTGGCAAGGGAAGCCGGAAACACGAGTCTCAAAATGATATGCTGATCTGCGCATTCAAACCATGACACTTGTGAATCACTCTGTGTGGGCCTCCTCGTCCTGACAAGGACATGTCGGATTTCAAGTGCCGTGGACTCGACTCGTGCGAACTACTGGCAGAGCTCCTTCCAAGGATGAAGATAGTCCATGTCGTTGTGGCCCCAGTAGCAAGGGCCATACCTTTCTAGCAGCAAATTCACTCTGGCATGCAGGCCAGGGGCCCAGAGTCCGGCTTCAAGAACTCCTTGGCCCGCTCATCAATTCCTGAAGATGCGACATGAGTGACGCTGCACCTCTGAACAGAAGGCCGCTTGACGACAAGTCCAACTGATGCTATATGTTCAAAGGGTCTTCCCAGATCTGTGGCAGTACAGCGCATCTCCGCGCAAGTAGCCAGATTCTCGCCTGAGCTGAAGGAGAGCATGCTGCATGTCATGTGTTGCTGCTTGTGCTTTGAATGACCGTCGCGCCAGATCCTGCAACAGCTCGTCTCGGAGCCCAGCGCAAGTGCCTGGAGTCCTTGGACCTCATGTGACAACTTTGGAAGTCTCAACGTGACCCGAGCAGGTGCCGAAGTTCGGCCGCTGACTTCACCACGGTGCTGGAGTTGCGGGCCTGGTTCCACTGCATGCAAACCTTGCCGGGGCTTCGGATCTGCACCCGAAGCTGTTACTCCGAAGCATGCGCCTGGAATGGAGTCAGCTCGTGTTTCTCTGCCACCTAGGTACATAGAATGCACCGGGTTCAAGCAAGGAAACAGCTCTCGAGGCTCGGGCTGAGAGAACTGTGGGGTCCTTAGCTTTCACCAAGTCGGCTGAGCGAGGCTCAAACTTTCGTTCTGTATGATCTCAGCACCGACTGCTGCAACAAGTCCAAGGCGCATCAACGGGTCGGTGCCCGGAATTACGTTCTGTCTCTTGGCCACCAAAGGGCGCATAACCTGCACTGAGTCTGAGTCATACTCGTACCAACAGGACCGGCAAGGTCGCCGACTCCGAGGAGGCTGCCCTGGAAAGCAATGGATTGCTTCCTGCACCAGTCGCGCACCGACCTTCGATTCATCAGAAGTACATGTCAATGTTCCTCACAGGTGTACCCCTGTCGTGCCTGTTCGGCCAGTGCGGGTGCGACTCTCCCTGCATGACCATCGGAGCGACCTGAGAAACATTTATTTCCGAGGCCGTGCAAGCCTCTGGGTAGTAAGCCCGCGTCAACGCAGCCTTGTAGAATTGCCTTACCATTGCACCAATGAGTCAAACCATACATGGACACCGTGACCACCCTCGCGTCCTCCATGTCCTCGATCGTGTGGTTGCTGACCCCGATCGCACGAGCCCGGCCAGAGTTGAAAAGCCTGAGACTCATCAAAGACAATCAGCAACTCAGACTGACTCAGACTCACCGAAGATGGCGACAGCAGCTTGGACACAGGCTCTTCCATAGCTCTCCAGGTTTCCCCGCGCAGCGAAGCTTTCGTTTGACCGGCCCTTGCAGCTGCACACTTCAGCACAGGGATGTCACGAATATTTCGGGACCAAACACAGCTCGTGCTTTCCTTTTCTTCTGTGTCACCTCTCGTGATGATGATCACGAAAGCCTGCTCTACAACAGACACATTGACACAATGCCAGACTTTCGGTCTTGCACCGGTGAAACTTGGTCGTCAATGTCACGGAGAGCGCTCTCCGCTCGGCGTTCGCGCAGCACTTGTCACTGGGGCGGGAAGCTCGACCACGGAGAAGGTAGAGTGGAGGCATGGAGCGAACTTAGTCCCATCAGATCCGGCACAGGACTCGGAGGGCAAGATCCTCCAAGCGGGAATGCTGGAAGAGGCATTGGACGGTGCCCTGGCAGCCCTGGCATATGAACTCCAGGTGGTGCTGGCGGTAGTGGCGCCACAGGCACAGGTCCGTTTGGGAAGACCCGTGACTGAGCATAGCCAAATGCACTGTTCAAGCTGCCATTGCACCTTGCTGCAGTCGTTGGAGGGATTGTTGTTGGCTCCTGGATGCTGCCGGATGCGGTGGCATTAGGTGCATCGCCTGGAGCAGTCATAGGAAAAAGCAGGGCCGACTCACCTCCTCGTGATGGGTGAAACCTCGCCCATACATCACTTATTGGTGATCGTGACGAATCAGTTTCCGGAACTCGCGGGGTGACTGGCGTCTCTGAAGACAGAGCCGCGGACGCCCGCTTACCCCTTTCGATTTCGGCCGCTCTCCGGCGAATTTCCTCGACGCGATCCGACGGAGGCAAAGGGGGCCCTCGCACCCTCAAGCAAGGTTCCACTCCCGGAAAGCTGCGAGCGATTGGTGGACCTTGTGGGGCAAGTCGGTCTGGAGCGGACTTGGCCTGGATATCATGGAAGCCTTAGCTGAGCTCTGACACAAACACGCATGTGGACATACAACAACCACTGACATCTTACAACCTGATACGGATGAGATTACTGGCCAACTAGCCTGACCAAATGCTCGCTGATGCAAGTTCATACCACTTGCTTCTTGTGACAAGTGACGGAGCCTGGAGTTCAACTTCCCAACGCGCCCGTCCATGGGCATGACGGTGACAGACGAAACATCCATCTGTTCGTGACCATTCTCGCTCTCAAGGGTCAGTGGGGCAGCAAGGCCTGCACCATTCGTAGCCTCTGGCTTTGAAAGGTCAGGACTCTGAACTGCGGCTGCACCTTTCAGCACTGCGGGTGTCTTCACCCTCTCGGTCATCGGCGTCTGCTCTGACCTCTCGCACGACAGGGACAGCTCCTCCTGCAGCTTGCTCATCAGGTCACCATGGCGGCTCTGCAGAGCTTTGACTTTGGCCATCGATTGCTTCTTCAGCTGCTCCAGCGTAGCTCCAGGCTTCGGTGAACCGAAGACTCTCAGCCTCTCAATCGCTCCCTTGTGCACATCTTCCAGGCAGCCACAGCGCTCTGCCAGCAAGGATAAGCTGGCTCGGAGCTCGGACACTTGCCGCTGGCAGGCCTGGACTTGAGACAAAGTCCCCGTCCCCGCTTTGCCATCTACGCTGGGAGACAGCATAGGCATGTACGAATCCTTCCCACCATTGCCGGCTAAGGCCTGCTACAATGACTGGTCTTGACGCTGGAGTAAGGTGGCACGATGCAAACAGACTAACACTGTGGTGATTTTGACAATGGCCACCTGATTGGGCCGCCCACCGTCTGTCTCCAACCCGAGTTCTTAACGAGCCAGAACAGCAAGTGCTGCGGTGCTTGCAGAACTGCCTGCATGTGTTACATACTAGCTTGGCGGCCGGGTGCAACTATCACATCTGTATTTGCCACGCGGGCCTGCTCCACTGTGCAGGACCCCAGTCTCGCTGCTCCAAAGACCACACATGCGGCCTTTGTCCATGGAAACTGCTAAGTTCTGCAGCACCCGAGTGTCCTGGGCAACGGCCATTGAATCAGCAATAAATCAACCTCATTCCAGAGCTTTGCGATGAGTGCAAAAGCAGCAGTGGCCTAACACTATGAGAGCCAGACGTAATCCACAGCCAGCTGGCTAGTTTGCCTAGGCTTAACCATCTCATTCGACTCCCCCACAAGCCTCCACCCTATCGACCACGTTGACCCGGCCTCCGAAACGATTGGAGGACACCATCGTGGCCTCATCTCGGAGCTGTTTACGCGACGCGCTGATGCCAGGCCCTAGGCATGCTCTTGGCGTCCTCGTAAGCGCCTTGCCATGGCTCCAAGGAGGGATCTTCACCACGAGGAAGTAGTCCTCTCGAGCCAGGCCCGACCGCTTGCCTTGTACAGACGGTCACCAACTTCAGTCCACCACCAAACGGCTGTCACTGTCTAGGAGGGCCACATGCCCATCGGATGTCGGTCAAGTTCCTGCTCAGGCGACAAGAAAATGCCGTGTGCCTTGCTCATCTAATGCTGGTTCATTCCGCTAAACTCTTTGGCATTTGATCCGATGATTTTTAGAAAGATAAGCCCCGGGTTGGGGTTGGCACTGGTTGCACAACACACGGTGACGTTTCGCACAATGGGCGGAGAAAGTCCTGTTCATTTCAGAAGTATCGATCCCGCGGTAACCCATCTTGAGGGCTGAAAGAATGGCTGCCTGCCGAACGCACCAAAGACAACCAAATTGTATGTGACTGCGTGCGGTCTCCGTGAACCAGGTCTGAGAAGCTGGCTCTGCCGACTCTCCCAGACAAGCCCTCGTAACCGCCGGTACCGAGCATCACCCGAGGCATGTCCACATGCCCACCCTTGGCGGCGATCCAGGAAAGCACTCCTCGCCGCCGGACCCATCACCGAGGCTCCAACCCCTCGGATCGGCAGAGAGACGAAGTCGCACGGCCTTGGGCGACGCTGGAAGTCCATTCGCAAGTAACTCAAGGAAAGAAGAACCTCTTTGCATGACGACAGGCGTCCCGGAAGCACTTTCGACCGGCGATAAAGAGCTTCCTCTTTATCACCGTCCTCATCCACAGGCATCCTCATCGTGCATTTTCCGTCCTCTTCTGCCGATCCTACTGCCCTTCGCAATGCTTTCGGAACAAACAGGAGCATGGCACAATCATCCAAGTGCACCGATTCGTCTCCGGAACTGACGCTTTTTTGCACACTTGCCTCGCCACCATGCTGCCCTTTCGACTGTCATGTACGCCATGCTAGTAGCTACAAATCACAGAGCCGTCAAGACATCACTTCCAGCAGCGTCATCACCTCAGCATGGTAAGGGAGCATTAAGTTGGAAGTATGCCCCTGCACCCAGCCGACATGCCAGCGAAGGCACCAATGGTAAAGCAGCCGTGAAAGCCAGACAATGTCTCGCAGTTTCTGACTTGAGACCTCCAGCCAAGACAGAACTGAAGCAGAAAATTGCAGAAATCATGGCATAAAACAGTGTCGGCCTGGCTCAGATCTTATGGTTTCCCTTTTCTCGTCCTGTGGATCTTTGGGAAGATCATCCTGGAGAACATGCACAAACAGTCTTGCCATAGGCACCCTGGCGGGATTGGATTCTTTGTCTTCGGGTGGTGTCTGCTGGCAGCAGCAGAGATACGGGGAGCACAGGCCCTCCCCCATTTACGCTTTTGCCCTGGACGTACAGGCACTTCGACTGGATGGTATCGAACATGTGGACAATGGCCAAAACGGCAGGGTGCGCCATGATGCACCAATGTCACTCCGAGCGTGTGCTGCTGCGCGGCTCACTCCCGCCACACCTTTGGTCCAGGTGGGGGGGCACCTGGACGCCCTAAGACTACGCGGTGACCCATGCCCCGATATAAAAGCACGATTTCTGTGGGCGAAGTGGACACGAGTAGAACTCGCCCTTCACGCGTTCCACCAAACACCGAATGCCGGGTCTGCATGATGCGTGGTGGGAGGAGGGTCGCGTGGATCAGCAATGACACACCAAGGCGGTCGAGCTGGCCAAGTCGGTTGGCAGATGAGACTGTCCGACCACTTGTCGTCCTTGTCGGTCCCCAGCACAGTCTGCGGATGGAACTTAGCACTCGCAACCTGCCGATATCGTTCAAACTTGATACGAGACGTCACAGCACCGCAACAAGCAGTAGCAGAAGTCCAAAGCCTTGGCAATCTCGGCTACTCTCTGCTGCGCTGTCTCGACCATGGCTTCTGCACTTGTTGGGGCCTCTATGTAAGCCGACATCCGTGGGCCGAGAGGTTGCATCCCTAAGCCCTGCGTAAGGCTGCGCTGCTGTGCTGGCCTTGGCCTTCCCATCCAGCATTGCAGTGGGCACTGCATCCTGTGGATTTGCTGTTTGCGGTCCACCGTGACACGACAGAGTCATCTTCAACGTGGTCGTGCACGTGTCCTCCACCAGCGAGTTGTTCTCACTTTCCCCTTCGCCAGAGCCTCAACGGCAAGCCACTACAATCTATGCAGATCTGCTGCGCATGTGTCCCTCCAGATTCTGTCGAAGTGTTGTACGTGGCATTACTTGGCGCAAGGCCAGATGATACCTCGATGTTGCCATCAGAGCTGACTGGCAGGATGGTCACACTAAGGCTAACCGCCTCGGAAATGCCAGCTGAGAAGAGGTTCACGGCTGGTGCGACGGTGAAGCTTAGCTAGGAGCCCTGAGCGCGAAGTTCTGACCGGAGGAAGACACCTGCAAAAGCCAGTTGCAGAAGAGTGGTCTTCAGTTCAGGCTGCTGGCGGGGAAGCGCTGCTAGCTTCAGTCAAGCCAGCCAGCCATGGTGAGCATCACCCCGAAACTTGCCCGAATGCTGGCACCCGAAACCGCCCGAGCACACTTCGCACACGACGTTGCAGTTTGCGTCATGTTGCGCGCGACACTTTCCGAGTGCGGCATTGAAAAAATCCACTGGCTGCAGTCCCGCCTGCCGTCTGATCTCTGAAGTCACGGTGTTTATGTCCTCAGCGGGGCATCGAATGAGAGATGCAAGGATAGACCTGCACAACTTGCAACACACGGCTGCAACAGTTAATATGCGACGAGAGTGTCCGAGGTTGAAATTCTCGACGCGACTTGGGAGGCATTTCCTTTGTTTACGTCCTGTTTGTACACCTCAATCATGTATGCCACGTTCACCTTAGCCGCAGCACGTTCTGGCGGCGCATTTCTTCAAGCACCACAGGCCGCATTGCAGAGGTACACCGACTTCCCGCCATGGGCAAAGCCGAGGCACATTTCCCTTTATTCTCTTCTGCACTTCTGACAGCAGCATGGCCTGCGGCACGCATCGCATGCAGAAAAAAGCCGCACAGCTCGCTCTCTCCGCATCTCTGCGCGACTCTGCGCCTGTGGGATGGTGACGTCCACTTTCACGTCCTCGCTCGCTGCACCCGCCAAGTTCGCCAAGGCCTTCGCCAGGGCTACCTGGGTCGAGCCGGGTTGAGCCGGGAAGTCTCCTTGCACTGCTTTTCAAGCCCAGGGAGCCGAGACGGAGGGATTCCCGACCTCAGAGAGACTCAGAGCCAGCGCTGTGCTGCCCTTCGGGCACTGCAAAACTGGCACAGGTACCTGATGCTTCGACTGAGCTCGCCAACGAAATCGTCCGCCTCGATCACGTCCAGACCCAGATCTCCGGCAATTTCAGCCAAGACGGTCCTTCCGTCCTGCGCTTGCGCTCTCTCTGCATATGCACACGACAACAAGCAGACTGGCATCTACGACCTATGCTCCACTCCATTCGCAAGGTTTGAGCCTCCCTCTCCTGCTTGCTGTCGGCGGTCTCGAAAGCGTCGGTAAAGTTTCTCCTCGGCACGTGGGGTCATTGGGCATTCCCAAATCTTGATTTGAATTTCCTGTGGATGCGAGAAAGAGCATCTGCAAAGCTACTACCGACCCTCAAAAAACTGATAAACTGCAGCTCCAGCCACGAAGCTGGCGTATCTGGTGCTTCGGCTGCTTCTTTGGACAAATATTCCGAGAAGTTGCCTGAAGCCTGGAAAGGCCGGGATCCACTGCTTGAAGACAGATTCTGCTCCACCTGCTGGCAGGGGAACGCGCGGCACCATGCTGCATGCAACAGTATATTTGTGGTAGTTTGTGGTCATGCTTCTCTCGCAGCTGCAGAGGCAGCTAGGACATGTGGGCCGAAGATTGATGGATCTTGAAGTGGGCACCGGGTCCGCGACTCACGCCGCCTGCTTCAAGAATTTCTCGACGTCCGAAGTTTTGCTGGGGAGAGCTTCCAAAATGTCCAACACCTGCTTGATGTTGCCGCTGGACACGTCCTGACACTGTTGCATCGCGCGTCTTGTCTGATAGCTGGAAGCAGCTGTCACGGGCAACTTTATCTCAAGTCGTTCAACGGGACAAAGCGAGGTAAAGAGCAGCCGGGTCACCATGTCAGCGGTTCGCTCCACTGCGGTCGGAGACGGAGGTGGCATCCTTAGTGTGGTGTATGCGGAAAACTTGTACAACTTCCGGGCAGGCAACACAAAAGCAAACCAAGTGCAAGTCGTGGGTGGCGCTGTTGTGCGATTCAACACCACTTCCTGGGTGTCGATGTGAACAGGTAAAGCCGTTTTGGCAGCACATTGACTCAGGAAGGCATTGGGCATGAGCGTTTCAGACATGCCCACGGAATGACAGTGTCTTACGGTAGATGCCAAGAGATGCCAAAGAGTCGTTGTAGGTATAATTCACCTGTGGCACCTCGGCAGATTGGACTGGTTTGGCAAACGGTATTGCCCGTCGACGAAAAACACCATGTTCACACGTGTTCAGGCGCCTCTCCCGTGATATTCTGGATCATCTTGTCGATTACCTTCATGGCTTCGGCCTGCGTTGCGTTGGACAGCTTGGCCTTGCACGTGGAAATGTCTGCAGTTGTCAGTTGTCGGTATAAGCAGCAAGAGATGGATGCGACCATGGTTTTCATCCACCCGCCAGCGGGTGTAGGCCCCGCACAAGATCTGGCTGCTGCAACTTGAGCTTCTCGTAGATTTCCAGCCTTAAGAAGAGGGCCCTTCCGGCTGGTGCCAAACATTGCCTGCAGGTTCAGAACCCAAATGCAGTGAAGCAGCGACTGGTTCAGCTTGTCTTTGGGACAAGGTATCGTAGGCTTGTAGGGTTCACCCTTGTAGCTCGGGTCTTTGCCTTGCAAAGTGCCGACAGGGCAATGCACAAACTGTTGCCTTCAATACCTGCTGCATGTCCTGCCCTCGTTCTGCCCGAGCATCTGATCGAGAAGTTCTTCGAGAGCTCCTCCTGGCCCGGGACCTCCAAAGGGCCACGCTCCGCCTGGGCTGACAGAAAGGCGAGTCTCGCTCGACCTTAGGTCGCTCTCTGAGGCCAAGACATGGGGCTCCCAAACATTGTGCAAGTGGCTCCAGCCCAGCTGTCCCTTCTCGAGCTGAAGAAGCGTCAACTTAGCCGCGCGGCTTCGATCTTTCCATTTAAGCCCTTGCAACCCTTCTCAAAACTGCGGCAACACCACAACACAAGGCTTCGGCCGTTGTCGTCGTGCTTGAGGTTGAATGCGGACAATTGATGTCATCTTCTGGGTTGCTGCACTCACCCACCTCCCACATCACGTCCTGGCACGGCGCTCCGCCGTAGAGCTCTGCCTTCTTCACCCGGGTACGGAACCGGGAGCCCACGCCACAAGAGGCAGAGCAATCGCCCCACTCTTGCCACAGCTCGAAGCTGCAGTCCACAGGACATGGTTGCGCATTGCATCTCTCGGTCTCCGTGCGGTTTCCAGCACATGGCTTTCCTCCAGCGGAGGCTTCCTGCTTCCGTGTTCGGCTCTTGCTGCGCACTCCACCGTTGCAGGTGGCTGGGCAGGGACTCCAAGCTTCCCAGTCGTTCCACTCGCAGTGAACCGCACAAACATCGAAATTGCAACCCGCTTCCTCCTCTGAAGCTCCAACACAAGGATCTCCACCAAAAGCCCGTTTCACAACGACGTCTCGGAAGCGCTTGATGGAGCCGCCACCACACTCCTTCGAGCAGGGCGTCCACGTTGTCCACTGGCCCCACTCGCAGTCCTGCGGACATCCTTGGGTGTTACATGGAGTGGACTCCTTTGCAAGGCCGCTGCAAGGCTTACCGCCGTACAGCTCGGGATTGGATTCGCGAGTCCTTTCCATTTGACCGCCGCCGCAGGTCTTCGAGCAAAGGGCATAATTTGACCACTCGCCCCAACTACAATCCACTGGGCAAGGTTGCTCGTTGCAGTACTCTGTCTTGAAGATACCACCGTCACAAGGTTGACCACCCCACTGAGGTGGTGTAATGAGCGTTCGGGAGGCTGTCCTGCACTGCTTGCTCAAATTCACAACCGCCGAGGCCAGAGGGCAGGGCCGTCTAGATCAGATCCAGGGAATCAGGTGTAAGTAAAGTACATTCTACCCACCCCACCTACCCCCACTCTCATAGGTTTTGGACTTTTTGAAGTAATTCCCTCCAGGCTTTCCTGCCCCTGCCTCCCCTCCCGCCCCAATCGTCTGCAGCGCTGCCCCCTCCCTGCTTCTACTCTACGTCCTCCTTTTCCACCGCCCCCAACCCGCTTCTTTGCTAGGCTCGTTTGCTTCCCTTCCCTCTGCAACGCTTGCTTCCTCCGTACTTCTTTGCCCTCCCTTCCGCCTTTCCGGGACAATATTCTGTTTGTCTGCATAACCGGCTGCCGGCTGCGGGCACGCATAATGGAACTCGGAAACTGCTCCGGGGCGGCTCTCACGCCAACTGCAAAGCACATTCAAAACTTCAGGCCCTTGCATCTCAGGGCCAGGGTCCTGTTCCCTGTGCTGCAGCTCTTGGAACAGTCGCTCCAGTCTGTCCACTCCTCGAACTTGCAGTCGACGGGGCAGCCGTGTGCATTGCACACCATCTCCTGAAGACAAGCCAACTCACGACAAGACTTCCACCCACTGGTTCAACATCCGGGCCTCGTCAGCAGAACCTTCACACTGACGACCTCCATGTTCCGCTGAGACGTTTTCGGACCTGTGCCGAAAAGTCGTACCACCATTGCATTCCTTGGTGCATTTGCTCCATTCACCCCATGTCGCCCACTCGCAGTGAATAGGGCATGGGGCATCTTCGCAGCCGATGGTTTCGAGCAGATCATCTGGGTTGCAAGCTTTGCCTCCCAACGATCCATGAACGACCACACCGCGAGATCGCGTCTGTTGACCAGTGGGCCCACATGTGACAGAGCAGTCCGACCAGCGAGCCCAGTCTCCCAAGACACAGTCAACAGGACATGGATCCAGTGCACACACCTTGCTGGCAGGGTCTGCCTTTCGGTCTACGCACTCGATTGTCTGGAAAAATGTAAACTGTAAACCTTGAGGTGTTCAAAGGACATTCTACGAGCTGATAGTTCATGCTTCTGTGCCAAGACACCTTCTCATCATCCTCGGTCCCATAGCAGACATGACCACCATTCTTTTCATAAAGCTTCCTAGTCCTGCTCCTCCGCACGAAGCCAGAGCCACAGGTCACGGAGCATCCTTCCCACTGGGACCAATCATCCCATTCACAATCCACCGGGCACGCCGGAAGGGAGGAGCAAGCGACCGAATCTTTGGCGAAACCCTCGCAGTCTGCGCCGCCATGTTCCGCCGGAATCGCCTTCTGGCGCTCGCGGGTCTGGAGCCCTGTACCGCAGGATGTAGAGCAGCTTTGCCAGGCCCCCCAGTCCGCCCACTGGCAGTTGACAGGGCAGGCTTCGTTGTCACAGCTCCTCGTTGCAGATGCATTGCCTGAGCAAGGCTCTCCTCCGAAGTCAGCACGAACCTTCACGTCTCTACTCCGCGTCTCTGTGCCCTCACCACATGTGCTGCTGCAGTTTCCCCATTTGGTCCAATCTCCCCATTCGCAGTGGACCGGGCACGCTGCAGGATTGCACTGCCGAGTCTGCTGGTAGCCACCGTCACAATCCTTGCCGCCATGAAGCATTGGCGTCTGCACCAGGCGCATGCGATAGCTGGATCCGGACCCACAAGTCACCGAGCAAGCGCGCCAGTCCTGCAGGGTGCAAGCCAAAAAACCTTGTACAGTCGAGTCAGCCTCGCTTCTCGTGATTTTCATGAACCTAAAGACGTGGAGTAGAAAGTAGCAAAAACGCTGCGATTCTGTGCCCAACCTGCCAATCGCTCCACTGACAATCCACTGGGCATGTATCTCTGGAACAGTAGCGTTTCTGATATGTTTCATTGGCAGCTTCGACGCACTCTTTCCCTCCATACTGAGCCGAAGATGCTATGTCGCGCTGCCGCTCCACGACTCCAGGCCCGCAAGTGCTACTGCAATCAGACCATGTTGTCCAATCTGTCATCTTGCAATCTACGGGGCACTGAACAGGGCTACAAGCAGTGGTTTGCTCAAGCTCTCCGGCACAGTCATCTCCGAGCTTGTTCTTGTGCTGAACCACAGTCCGGAACCGCTTCGTAGATCCTGGCTGCCCGCTGGTTGTGCAACTTATGCTACAGTCTGCCCATTGGGTCCAATCGCTGAGCAGACAGTGAACCGGGCACAGTCCATTGTCACAGGTTTTGTTCTCCGAGACAGCTCCGCAACGCTCGCCACCAAAAACTGGCAGTGTCAATACCTTGCGTTCCCGCCGCGTCGTGCCTTCTCCGCAGGTGACGTCGCAAGGCTCCCATGCCTGCCAATCCTCCATTGCGCAATCCACGGGGCAGGTGTTCATGCCGCACGTCTCTGTCTGGAGGTTCTGGCCGGGACCTGAGCTACGGCCACACGAGGGGCTTCTGCATGCTGCTTGGCTGGTGAACTAGTTCGACTAGCTCAAGTCAGTGATGTATTGAAACCCTCGACGACCAACAAAACCTTACGCAGCCTGAACTCAACGGTCGCAAACTTTCAACAGGCATTCATCCACATCCCGCGTGCAGTACAAACCGGCACATGTTCGCTACCGCCATGAAGGGATATAGACTGAACCCGCGCAACATTCACCACGAACTGCGAGTCGTTGATCGATGTATCATTGTGATTCAAAGAGGAACGTCCACAACGTAGCAATCTATCAGAATCCGGGCAGGAAGCGAGGAGTATCAGAACCCGGCCATATCAAACAACATCACTCGGCAGAGCCTCTTCTTAAATGCAACGACTTGCACTTCAAAGGCAAAAGCAGCGAGCTAACTGGGCCTCCGACACTCCTTGCCATGTGCATTCTGGATCTGCGCATAGCTCCGATACCTGCTGCGGCGCAACCATCGGTCTCGGTCTTGACACGTCCCTCTCTGTCCCTGCTGTCTGTCCAATCTCGTTTTGAAGTGCAGACGCCCACTGACCGTCTCTTGGTCACGGCCCATGGCCCTCTTACTCTTGTAATGCGCCTGGATCTCTCGCCGACGCCACAAGACTTGGAGCAGCCTCTGGCAAGTTCAAGTACTCACGAGAGAGTCACGTCTCTACTTTAACTCTCCATAATGCCGCGATGCTGCCTTCCCAGTCTCCCCAATCGCTCCACTTGCAATCCACCGGGCAGATTTTCACCTACACAAAACCGGAACGCGACGTCGCTACGCCTTCTTCTAGAAGCAAACATGCAAAAACAGCGTCCTGGCACTCGGCCGACGCGGTGGTATTTCCAACGCAGGGTTTTCCTGCACTGCACTCAACGATCCCTCTCGAAGAATCACAACGGTAGGAGCCTCCATACTCTGGGAGTTGGCTCGCGTCGCGAGTCTTCACCTGCCACTTAGCGGCGGTTTGCAGGCCAATACGAAGAGTGTCGATTCTGCGCATGGCGAACCTCTACGACCGCAACAACAGCAACACCAACAGCAGCAACAGCAGCAGCAAAAGCAACAGCAGCAACCACCACGCCTCAGCGTGCTGTTACCGCGCAAACTCCGTTAGTATACAAACATAATTATGCAAAAACAGATGTGCGTATGTAGATATGCAGCGATATTTGTATATACATACATAGATGTATACATGTGTATGTACATGTAGCGAGGTAAAGCAGCACTGAACTGGCGAGCACGCCTTGGACAGCTGCTGCTGCTGCAGCGTGCCCACAAGGCAGTCTTCAGAGAACTACCGGAAGGCTTTCTTCGGCCCTGTGTTCGTGACCGCATCCCAGAGTCAATGTGAGGTAATCATCAAGCACACAAAGAAACTCGTTTACAAAATCATTTGGTAAGGACTGATGAGCAACGGCAGCAACCAGAGATTCTTGGATCTTGCCCTTCAAAGCCAGAATACGTCGACCAAGGCATCAGATATCTCGGCATGAACAGCAGGGTTCCTTCCACTGCAGGCATGTCTTCCGCCGCTGGCCTTACACACAGAAACACTAAAATGCAAAGTCTGCGCTGTAAATGAAGACAAATCTCAGGAGCGAGAGGACAGCGCGTGCATGGCAAAACTTCTTTGGGCTAGAGAGCCGAAGAAAGCAGACTTGTGAGAGGATGCAAAGCGAGAGAGGTTGTTATGCCCCCCCAGCCCCGCCCCCTCACTCCGCAAACAGAAGCAGGGAACACTGGAGGGCGGAAAGTAGGAAAGCGCATGTGCGGGAACCACCGTGAAAATCCATGTTCTCGGCAGGTTGGATTTGCGGGAAATCGCATCGAAAACTCCGGAATCTCTCGTCTTTTCGGCATGCGACGCATTGAAAACGCTGAAAATACCGGCATGATTGGCACGTCGGACTTGCCCGGGGGCAGCTCTCTGCAGGGAACAACCTAACCCATATTCACAACGACAACGATAATGACGAAAACAACAACGACAACAACGAAAACCACTATCACCACAACATCCACAACCACCGCAAGTGTGGTGTTAAAACATGGTGGTCGTGGTCGTGGTGCTTTTGGTCGTCGTGGTCGCGGTTGCGGCAATTGTGTGGGCTGTGGTGGCTGTGGTGGCTGTTGTGATTGGGGTTGCTGTTGTGGTTGGTGTGGTCGCTGTGGTTGTGGTGGTTGCTGTGGCACAAAACCTCGACACGGAATGCTGCTCTTGATGGAAACCCAAGAGCCGCCTTGGTTCCAAGTCCACAAGTTGCCGAACAGCTTCCCCAGGGAGCCCACTCATCCCAGGCCTTTCCATCAAAACCCCTGCAACTCGGGCGCTCCTAATTTAAACGCAATAGTTATTGACCAGAATGCTCCTCGCCAAGCGGCACAATCAATCGGGCAGGGGTTCGTGTTACAGTCGCGACTTTCCTTGTCGTTGTTGTCGCACGCAGCCTTGGATTCTGCTCGAACATCTTAACAGGTCCTCTCGCACACATGGGCTCGACATTCTGCTGCGGACCACCAGACAGCGCTGAGCGACCCCCTTACCTTGTGCCATTTGGCGAACTTTCCGAGTCCGAATGGATTCTCCTTAGTACTTTCAGTGAGACAGGTCGGCTCCGTTCAAGCACTTGTGCTTGCAAATTTTGAAGTGCTGCCTCCACCGCAAGTGAACTGGCAGGCGCTCCACTCTGCCCACGTCTCCCACTGACAATCGACCTTGCTTCGGCACGGGTGGTCAAAAAAGGATCTACCCAGAACCTTTCGCTAAGCCGCATCTGCTCCAGCGTCGACTTCGCCGACGGGCGAAGGGGTTGGCAAAGGACTCGAAGCTGTGCTAGTAGTCGTGGTGGATGCCATCGCGGACGATTGAAGTGTGGTCTCAAGCTCCTCCTCTTCCTCTTCCTCCGTCTCCTCACTCGCCGGCGCTCGGCGAGCATGCGCCTTTCGAGCGACGCTGGGACAAAAGGGACAAAAGCTTGAACCACTCTTGGCCTGCAAGGACTTGGCCCCAACGGCAGAGCTCGAGTAGGTGGCTGCCGTCGCATCAACGGCTCGGGCCTGACAAATGAATCCCGACCCACTTTCCCAAATAGCATGAAAGCAGTGACGAGAATCACGCAAGTGAGCCTGCTTCACTTCTGCTTTTTCTCGAGAATCACTGCCACCCCGAATAATCGTTCTATGCACAAGTCCATCTTTCGTAACCTGGCATGTGGGCCATTTACCAAGACGTGCGATCGCATGCTCGCCGACTGCCACCTTGCCTCCACTTCTGTAGCTTCACCTGTGTCAAATTGTCTCTTGACGGTGTCGCTGATGGACTGACTGCGCCTCAATGCGCACCCGGTGTGAGAACCGAAACTAACAACCACAGGCTCCGAGACACGCACCCATAAACAAGCCCCCATACTTCGATTTATGTCGAGAGTCGGTGAGGAGACGGCACCCAAGATTCGCACGGTTGTGAAGAGGTAAATGAATTGCATGAGGCAGGTGTTTCCTGCAGGGCAGAAGCTCATTTGGTCGTGAGATCAGTTGGTTGGCTGGCTCGCACAGCTCGTCACATGATTGCTTTCGTTCCCACTCGCCATGAAGGATCCTCCCGTAAAGGGGCCTCCACAAAGATATGGTTGTAAGTTGTAAGACTTTCCGTACCAAGTACTTACCTTCGGCCTGTGTGTTAAAAACATTTAAAAACTACATTGCGTTCCCTGCCATCGCATTTGGCCGTAGGAGCAAGTCGCACGCACATGCACTTGAAAGCCGCTCTCTGTCTGGCTCATCACCCTTTTACTGCACAACGAAACCCAAGGTCGTCAGCATCAGCTGGTCCTATCATGTTTGCAGGATTCCTCGGATTGATGCCAGCACTCATCACAAAGGTGATGATGACTGATACTACTTAGGGTGGTCAGTCTGACTGAATCGAGTAAAGGAGCAACGGACGACGTCGTAGCACTCGTCCTGTCGCCGAGTTGCAGACATGCAGCATCTATCTTCGGCATGTCAACGTTCCGAAGACTGAGCTAGTGGTGAAGCATTTTCTGAGCTAATTCAGTCACGTGGCAGAAAACGTGAAGACCTCGGTATTTGGACCACAGCTTGAAGGCGAACCAATCAATCAGATATCTGCGTTGGTCTGCTGACAGTGGGACATAATAGCGGGCTTCTATGTCTGAGAAAGAAAAAAGCTGAAAGAAAGCGGACACATTCCATGTTGCAGAAGAGATGCTGGAGACCCGTGCGCACACAATTCTTGATTCGACACTAGTTCGAGAGCATGCCGCTTACATCTATCTCTCCACCATGAAGCAAACAAACCAGCCAAGGCGCAGTCGTTCAGCTCAATGCGGGCATGGGACATCCCGTCTACTTTGAGCCAACAACTCTTCGGCCGGTTCCAACACGGCGACTGTGAGTAGAGCGGATGGCTAAAATGACCGGTTGACTTGGCCAAGACGAGAATAAGCCAAGCATGAACAGCGCAAGTCCAATAGCACCCTGGCTTCGACATGCTTTGCAGACATGGACAAATGATCCCATACGGCTTCTGTACGACTTCTCTGCCGAGCTTCTGGCAGCAGTTCCGTGTCAGTCACACCTGAGCAGAGCTGCTTATAAACTGTTGTGGAGCCTTGATAGTTGCCATGAGAATCTGAGCAGAGAGCAAATTTCTCTGCAAACGCCTTCTGTGACTTTGCCACTCTGCTGTGCGGACGCGGCCTTAGGTCACACAAATTAGCACAATGAGAGCAGGAAACATGCAAAAAGCATCCAGGAAGCCGCAGCATTGCCCGGCCTCCTGTTGGAGCTCGCCTTCAGGCTCAGGGACCTCCTCCTAGCCGCCGCCAACCGAATGCTGTTGGCATCTACTGCCCGCATCGGCCGCCTTTCGAGGAAGCCAGTCTGGTCGCGTTGATTCTGCCTGACAGACGATCACAAGAAAACCGATTCCCCGTGTCGGTCAATGCACCTTTTTCTTGGAGCTGCCACGGCTGAAGAAGGCCTTCTCGCGAGCGAAAAAACGCCACCATGCAATCTGCTTTGTGGAGGGAGGCGGGTGGACCTCCAGCGTTGCTGCCATTTCTTTCTCCTGGAGCCGCGTTTCCCGACAGGACGACAGGACAAGCAAGCTTGACCAGTGGAAGCCTTCGCCGCAGCTTCTTCGACTTCTCGCTGGTGCTGGCATGTTCTGTCGATCTCCTCTTGTTCAAGCTGCTCCTGGCATGACGGCACGATACGATGCGATTACGAAATCTCAACATGTTGCTCATCATGACTCGGGCTATCTGCCATCACTCCAGTCGATAGGCATGTGTCTCCTGCTCTTTGTCGTACTTGGCAAAACGATCCTGTTCCAAGCGCTACCAACCCACAATCTGGGCTTCTGCTATAGCCCAGCCTCCAGAGTCTCGCAGTTTAGCTTGTGCACTGGCCTGCATCTCAGCCAGAAGTCTGAAAGCCAAACGAATGTCCAGCACCCAGGGTTCCCACCATGCACGCTTCTGGCAAACTGAATCGCAAAACAATGTGGTTTTGCACCTGCAAGCTCAAGTTCTGCCTCTCGACACCCATCAGATCAGGAACTAGGGTCATGAAACTCACCACAAGCCTCTGGCAAGCCAGTAAAGCTGAAGGGTTGCCGCACCTCGAATTGGGTTCGCGTTTGGGCACATCTTGCCTGCCTGCAAACTGAGCTGAACACTGTCCGCATCCGACCGGAACTTGTTCCGGTGCCTGCCGGAACGTCGGCGGAATTTCAGCCAAAGATACCAAAGACTGCTTGACACACTCAAAATATGATATTTCTCGGGTGCCGGCGGCGGTCATGGCTGGGCCTCTCTTGCTGAATCGCTGCAGAACCCGATCATCCTCGATGTCACACGCATCACAACTCTGGAGCAATGGCATTCTGTGGAAGGGGTACCTCTTCAGACGGCAAACCTCCAACTCCAAGACCTTTGGCCCTGCTGCCAAGACCTGCCGGGCATTGCGGCTTGTTTTATCTTTGCTGTGCTGGCATAAATCAAGCCAGTCGAACGGTTGGTGTTCGATCGCAGGCTGATTCGAGCCCCGTCAGGAAAGGCAATGACTTCCTTGCCGAAAGTTGCAATGCGCCAGGGCCAAGGAGCTTGACATCCGCGATGGCCGAGGCTTTGGCTTTGGACCCTGGCCCACATTGCATGCCCACACTTCGCATTTCGTCTGCAACAAACTTACTGCTGGTAACGTTGCTGCTAAGGTTCCTTTTTCTAAACTGAACGTGGAATTGAGACTTGAGCCCATGGGTCCATGCCAGTACGCTCATAAACAACTCATGAAATCATGAAGCCCGCATTGCCCCACGCAGCATACTCCAAACCTGCCACGCCTGCTTTTTTCGGAACAATCAACAGGATGAGTGCACTTTGGCACTTCAATCGGCTGCGAGTCCAGAAGCACAGCGTCACTGCGACTGTTGGCTGAAGCTGTGGATACCACCACCGGCTTCATTGGCTGTCGTGCCAGCTTTTCTGCCAAGTCAGCCGACATGTTCGGAAATGGTCGCAGGAATTGTCGCCACATGGTAGGGAGTGGCAGACTCCCGGGCGCGAACGTCTTCAGTACGGAAGCCAAATAGCGCCGTTCTCGTCGAAAATATGTGTTGACCCTCCTGTCCAAACTCCTGTGCATGTGCTGCCTGCACGCTGTGCCTGCGACATCAACATTGTATGCAGCAGGACTTGTTGATGAATCGAACTGCCGCGGCAAGTCGAGCTGCAGGAAGTTGTGAACGGCTCGCATCGTAGCAATGGGTTCTGCCGAAAGCCCTTCCAAGCTCAACATAGCCAACTTGTCCCGGTGAGGCAGCATGGTAATGAGTCTTTGCACTGCGCTTGAAAAATAAGGCGAGGCCATACTCAACCCTGTGCAAAGCTCCCAACTTGGGATTGTCAGGCAAACCCGAATCCATTCAGCCAACGGTGCTCGCAATGTGTGTTCGCCGGCCGGTCCACTGGCCCAGTATGGCAATCGATGGCAAAGGTTCCAATGGTGATGGTCTTCTCCGCACGGAACTTTGCAGGTTTGTGACACCAGCCAGGACCTGAAGTGGAAGAATCGCGTTCAAGCATTGGCTCACCAGAACCGCACAACGAACACACATGCATCATGCAGCATGCACGAATAATAATATGGCACGCCTTCCGAGCTCATACCGGCAAACTTCGCGTTTTAGCAGTGAATGCTGATCAGCCTTCAGCACGAAAAACTGCATAGCTGGCATCTTATCTATGCGCCATCGCAAACGTTGCCGTGGTCGTCACAAGTTCCTCCGAACTGAAGTGAAGTGTCTCCGAAGCTCACTAGCTAATTACGAGAATTGGGTTCCTCACCGATCGCGATCCAGCGACGCTTACCAAGCTTCAAGGTAGTGTAGCACGCCTGCTACCTAGGTCGCCAAGGCAAAAGAGGTCCTTCGCCGCACGCGCGAACTTGTAGGCACCAACTCCGTCGTCAACACTGACCGCCGTCCGGGCTCCATTCGGAAGACACCGCCGCGCGCGAGCGCTTCGGTCCCAGCACATGCGGAGAGCTCATACAGGAAAAGGGTACACGCATCCATGAAAGCCTCCGATGCCTGTTGAGCCAGACGGAAGACGCACATTGACACTTCGCTGGTGGCCCCAATCATGCGGGTGACATGTAGTCCAGGGCCGATCGTGTGGCCGGCAGCGCAAACGCCTCCCCACCTACCTGGAGCTGTCGGCCGCGCCGCTGCAATCTTGTTGTCCATGGGTGTTGAGGTGAGCGGCAGGTTCAGAGGCGAATCCATGCGAATCCGTTATGCAGGTGTGCCATGTGTTGTGCAGGCGTGCATGGCCCTGCGCAGAGGATGACACGCAACATCGTTGGCTCAAGATGTGCGAAAGGTGATGGGGTCTTGTTTTGAGGTTCGGATTTGGATGAGCCTAGAGGCCCCGGGATGGCGAGCGATTACAACAGTCTTGACGATGTTCCGATGCAGATAAGAAGAAATCTTTCGAGTCCTGTTCCATCACATTTCAGTATCGTTACCGCTACGCCGTCTCCCAACCTGGTTCATAACCAAGAGGTTATGAGCCCAAGGGCTCCCCTTGGGCAAATCTCCGCAAACACTCAGCAGCAAGACAGCAAACAACAGCTACAGCATCTACAGCAGACATTGCAGCGGACGGATCAGTCGTCTTCAGGAGTTTATCCCAAGTGGTACTTCCTGCAGACCTGGTGTTGCGACTGCAAGCGCTGCAGAATCTAGAGCTGGGACAACTGGCGGATTTTGATCACATCCGACAGGGCATGCAGGCACTGGCCGATGAGCTGGTGAGACGTTCCGAGCTGCTTGGACAATGTGTCCAAAGGGCCGCAAGTGGCACCATGGAAGATAGAGAAACCATACGGGGTTTGCAGCAGACTTTGCAAGCCCTACAACAGAGAGATGCGCATCATCAAAGTAGACTTGCCTCTTTATCCTCGGAGCATGAGCGGACGATGAGCCTTCTTGCAGAGTTTGAAGCGGGCATGAAAGCCAAATGGGCCGAAGCTTGGCAGAAGACCACTTCCTTGGAGGAGAGACTTGAAACCTTTCTGGCGGCACAGGCTGGATTGCGTGGAGATCTTGAGGGTCTTGTAGGCCAGTCGGCCGGAGAGCAGAAGCAGCTCCTTGTTACCATGCTTGAGAAGCAGGCGGCAGCATTGGAGCAGGCAACGGTGAAGCAAGCAAACAGCGAAGAGCAGATTGAGCAGCTGAAGCAGAGCTTAGATAGGGCTCAGGCTGAGGCAGCGAAGGCGAGAGACCAGTATGAGGATGATTTGAAAACCACTAGATGGGTGGTAAATCGGGTCGCGAGGTTGGAAATGCTGGTAGAAAAGCTGCGAATTCAGGATGCGACTATCCAGCGAGAGTTAGAGGTGGATCCCGAAGAAGGAATTCGGTTGGGAAATGCTGGTCACGATGTGGACCGCACCGGAGCCCCTGTGATCCATCATGTTCTATCTCCAGAAAACCCAGGGGATAGCAATGAGAACTACGAGGATGATTGGTGGGGTGCAGGTGTTGCCGAGCAGTGGGATGCAGTCGGGCGCAATTTTCCACCCGGCTTGGGGCTGAACGCTCCTCCACCACCGCTGCCTGAGAACATGAAGCAGGCTAACTCGGCACCTGAGGTCAAAATCCACCAGGCGGCGTTTAAGCTGTTGAAGGATGCCCCGAAGCTTGACCTATCAGCAGGAGGGGAACCGTGGGAGATCGGCATGGTTGTCCACCAGTGGCGTGTGGAGATGCGGACCGTGCTGGCAGCGATCCATCAGCAGTTCGCCGAGTTCTTTGACAGGACCTATGAAGCAGGGAGGTTGAGATATGAAAAGAAGCGTTTGTCAGGGATTGAGGATCAGCTACCGGCTATTGCTAGTGCGGACGCCGAAATGGAGACGCGGCTATCGCTGACGCTGTTGCAGAAGCTTCCCACTGCCGTTCGCCAGCCTGTGGTGGAGACGTCTTCATCGCAGAACGTGCGCTGTGTGCTCATGTTCGAAAGCTTACATGAGAGATATGCTCCAGGAGGCAAGGAAGAGCTAGAATCAATCCAAAGATACCTGAGACAACTCCCTACGGCTCAGGATTTCAAGGGCGCTCTTACAACTTTGAGGCGATGGAAACTTGCACGCCAACGGGCGCACAATCTCGGGTTGCCGGAGCAAGCGCCTAACGAAGGCATTTCAGCGTTAGACTCCCTAGTGCGAGCGCTAGAGAAAAGGAACCAACAGATGGGGATGAAGATCAACTTACTTCGTATGCAACCAGATTTGATTATTCCCTCGTCGGCTGGGCTTGAAAGGTACGCTTTGTTACTCGAAACCGAGTGTCGGAGGCTAGCCTCCGATCAAGAAGTGCGGGACGCACGCACGGCCCAGAGTAGTGAAGTCGTAGTTGCAGCAGAGGCAGCAACCAAGGGCAAGGGTCGGCAGATGTGTCATTTCTTTGCTAAGCCAGGGGGATGTTGGAGGGGCAAAGATTGCCCATTCTTCCATGGGGAGGCGAATCAGGCCAAGGGTAAAGGTAAGGATAAGGGATCTGGGAAAAGTAAGGGGAAGAGTGCCGATGGCAAACAGGGTGGCAAGGGCAACGACAAGGGTGCCCAGAAACCTGAACCCCCGAGCAAACCTGAACCAAATCCCAAGCCTAAGCCTAATCCGAAGCCTGCCCCGAAGCCAAAGCCGAAAGCAGAAGCCAAGGCAGCTGTTGTCCCAGGGCTTTTGGGTGTAGGCTTGAAGAGTATGGTGTATGCTGCCCGAGAAGTGGGTGGCAGGTCTGAGCCATCCGATTCGGACCAAGGGTCAGAGCTCTCCGAAGTTGGACAGGTTTTATCTAGTGATTCAACAGGCGAGGCACTTGAGAATCAGTCCAATGGTAGTTCACAGCTGGAAGAGCTAGAAGATATTGTACGTGAGAGGGCTGAGCAAGCTCCCAACAGGGCTCCCCTTTGGTATCTTGTGCTAGATCCTGTTGAGTATGCTGTCTGGAGTCCCGGGCACGATGTGATCACGCATGCCATTGCCCCTTTCGAGCGTGTGAACGGTCCAACCTTGATTGCGCTTGGGGTTTGGTGGGCTTTGTCAGAGATTGATTTCGAGCTTCCGGCGACTAACATTGAGATAGGAGAGGGTCAGTATATCATTGAAGCCTTGCAGAGGTTGTGTATGTATGCTGACGGGGTTTTGAGACCGGTTGTGATGACTCACTTGATTGACATTGATTCCGGTAGGGAGCAGATGCTGGTGTTGACTGAGAGTAGCATACCGCCAGTAGTGGGTTCATGGGAGCTCCGGGATGCTAGGGAAAGGCTTCGAAGGGCTATCAACCCATCAGCAACACCCGCTTCATCATCCGGAGTGCAAAGAGAGGCTCCACAGGCTCCTAGGCCACCGGGTTACCCAGGTCAGTCTGAACGGGTGTCTGAACGAATGCCACCTTCGAGTGCACAATCGTCGTCGCTTGAACCTTTGAGTGGATTGCTTGGGGTCCGCAGTAGCAGAGTTGTCCCAAAGGCACCGCCAACGAGACGAGCATCTAGGGGGAGTGATTCTTCAGAAGATGAGGGTAGGTTTTATGTCGCTGACCAGGCGAAGTGCGTAGGTGCTTCAGTTCACAAGAATTTCGGAGGCAGCGGACTCCCCAGAGTTCTGATTGACTCTGGAGCCAACGAAGTCATTCGGCCATTTAGGGAGGGTTTGCAGTTGACTCGATGTAAAAGAACGCAGGTAGCTGTAGCCTCCGGAGATGTGGTCGAAGCTTTTAGATCGCGTGATGGCGAGTTGATCCTCGGACAGGAGCCTGACAGTGACTGGATACTGAGCGTAAGGCGCCTCAGAGGCGTTAGCGGCTCATTTGTTTGGGATGCCTCAGGCCCTCGCATCACATACCCTAGTGACTCTGGCACTGTAACCATTGACTGCTACGAAGAGAATGGGTTGCCATACATAACTTGGAACGACTTTCGTCCGATCAGGAAGCTCTTGGCACAGGCTTGGAAGTACAAGGGCATGGGAACTGTCTTGAGAGCAGCGTCAGTGGATGGGATGCAAGTGCAAATTCTGAGCTATCCAGAAGTATCAGAGGCATTGCAAACACGGTTTGAGGAGGAGAGTAGCTTAGCGGCACCTGTTCAGGTGGAAGATGCCGGAGAGAAGTATGCGCAGCACCTTTGTGAACAGAGCACGGTGTCGTTCAAGGAGGTTTGGGAGGCAATCCAGTTGGCCTCTCTAGTTGAGCGTAGAACAGACCGTGAGAAGATCATTGCAGGAAGTGACGGCCAGAAGATTCCTGTGTGGGTGTTCGGGCTGTTTGTTCATGGAGGTGTACTCGGACTGACTGCTGAGACATGTCGACATCCTTGGTTGACGAAGTTGCTGACGAAGATGGTGCGTCAGAACAATCCGGGCTTGGAGTTCCTGTCCATCACAGTGTCAATCAATGTAGTCTACAAACCGCACAAAGACAGGAATAGCTTGGAGAGGGAGTCAGCGGTCATCGGCATCACCAAGTTCCAGGGTGGACGCCTCTGGATA